GAAGGTAATTCAAATTAAAACTATATATTTGAAGTTTAGTTATTACTAAAAAAAAACAAAGTTTAGTTATTACAACATTATTTAAGACAGAAAGACAAAAATAGCTGGAGAGAGATGGAGAGAGAAAGAGGGAGGGAGAGAGGAAGATGGAAAGAGAGAAGGTAGAAAGGAAGGAAAACAAATTAACTTCTATCAAAAGAAATGACTAAATGAACCACATTTCATCAGATTGGTGAATGCTTTATATTGTTTAGATAGTTATGAAGACTAAAAACAACATAGAAATTGTTCACAATATTTCAGTTGTGAAATATATTTGGAAGAGCTAGAAGGGAACACAAAGATATGAAAAGTCTGCTATAGCATTTCAATGTACATTTTCCTTAGCACTTATATTTAATAGTTTATTACATATTTTAACAATAAATGAGTATTTGGCTTATATGAAGCTATTTCAACTGAAATGTGACTAAAGTCAGGTGCAGATTTAAAAGCAACCTTTGATAAATGACCAGTTGTTTTTATATAAGAGCCTTTTTTTTTTTTTAAGATTTATTTATTTGGGACCCACCCTGGTGGCGCAGCGGGTTAAAGCACAGCACTACAAAGCTTAGGTTACGTCCGCATCAGTTCGATCCCCATCTGCCCCAAGGAGATCCACATGGCACGGCAGACCTCTCCTGACCTGCCCACTGCTCCCCTCAGCAGTGTACTTGGTCAGTCGGCCTGTTCTGCTCCCCACTCTGTCTCTGGTGAATCCTCTCACCTTCCCCACCTCTGGCCTGTATACCCCAGTTCTGTATGCACAAATAAATAAATCTTTTTTTTAAAGATTTATTTATTAATTCATACAGAACTGGGGTACAGGCCAGAGGTGCAGGGTCAGTGAGAGGATTTGGGGCAGGCGGGGATCAAACTCATGCAAAAGTAGCTTTAGCTTCTTAGTGCTGTGCTTTAACCAGATGCGCCACCAGGGAGGGCTTATAAGAGCCTTTTAAATGATGTTCTCAGCCTGTCTGCCCAGCCTCAGCCCATCCCTTCTTCCAGCATCCTGCTAAGTCTTCCTGACCTATCACCCATTCTTCATCTCTATAGTCGTGCCAGCTATCTTATTTGCTTCCTGTCATCCTTAAAGCTTATCTGAGTCTGGACTTTTCAGGGGCATCAAAGAAAGCAGCCATGTTAGAACAGAGGAGGGAACAGAATGATACTAGACCATGGTTGTCTCTCAGTGGTGTTAGGCCCTGATAGCTGATTCAGAAAGAAAAAGCTGCTGACTTCCCTGTTAAGCTACTGAATCTAAAGAACAAAGGTTGAAGCTCCCTTAAATCAATCATTCCAAAGGTAGATGGCCTTGTACAAGATAGAGGGTAACCTTGGAAAATCACAGAATGCCTGTTGTGCAAGGTTGCAGGGCCAGGTTGTCCTCCCCAACTAACCTCATTTAATTTTTCCCAACAGAGCTCCTTTCTGAGCATCAGGCCAAAGGACATGCATAGATTTCCCTGATTCATCAAGATTTATGTCAAACTTACTTTAGCAGCATAATATTTTTTCATCTTGTTACTTGGCGGGCAGGATCAAGTTCTAAGCATGAGGGCTGCCCACAGAACCTCCCCCACATTCTCTACCTGAGACTAGAGGCCGTCTTCTGACCAGAGCAGAGATAACCCCAGATACCTCGATAGCCTATGCAAATACCAGCAAAGGTGAAAGAGACATAGTGGACCGTGAAGGTCACCTTGGGGCTTGACAACACATGCAGAGATATAGAGAAAATTTGCTTGGAAAGATTTTTAAAGATGCATGTCTGTTGTCTTGTGAGTTGCCCTATTTCCCACTAAAAATGCTGATGTAATCACGATTCCATTTTATTTTTTTCATCAAATCACTAAAACATGCAAGAGAACATATATTTTAAAGAAACTCCTTTTTTCCTACTAGAACTAATTCTTTCTGTCAGGGCAGGTTTACTAACGTTTATACTGATTCCATCTTATTATCCCTTTAGTGTCTGATGTTGTTATATTTGCAAGGCAGCTAGTTTATGACTCAAAATCTTATAATGCTTTACAGTTTACACATCAGAGGAACACAAGAACCTTGAAGAGAGGCACTAACCGCTGTGTTTTTATTATTATTATTATTATATAAGTTTATTTTTACATCATTTTGTACATTTTTTTTCCATCTCAATTGTAATCCCCACGGGTTTCCCATCACCATGTCACCCGTGTGCCATCACCATAATCCCGTGCCTGCTGTGGTTTTTATGGCTGACAGCATTGTGTCTCCAAGGGATTAAGTGATCGATTAGAACAACACTAAGTATGTCCCCTTCAAATTCTAGTACATCAAAATTGCTTTTGTTTTGAATCAGAAAAAAAGAAATTCCCAAGACTTTCTATTGTGATTTCAGTCCTGGAAAAGCCCAGAAAGAGTGGCTGAGGCTAGTTATGTTGGAATCTGTCTGGTGCTCACAGGTGAGCCCTTCAGAAACTGGAACCTCAGGTTAGAGTCAGGGAGAGATTACAAACTGGACATTTCCCTGAAAGAACATGCTGATGGATCCCTGGGAACAAACAGTTGAGTGCTTAAATGTTCCAGATTTTTCCAATAAAAATTGAGTATGAACAGGTGGACAGAAATCATATCTCCAAACTGGGACTACTTTACTTTTTCCTGCATACAGCAAGGATGCACCAGTTTTCAATTCCTCACCCCTTACGTTAATGTCCACTTTTCTCCATCCTAACAGGATTTATGGGCTATTTTCAGCGCCCTGAAATATAAGCTATGGGATATTTTCATGGGATCTTTGAGGTTTAAGCCATAACGCATATTTGTTTTATTTTTTACCTAAAAAAGACAGTTTCAGGTAAGTCAACACAATTTAAAAGAGCTCTGAGGAGCAAAAGAAAAACTGAGGAACAGAACAGAAAGCAGACTTGTGAGTTCAAAATAGTTAGAGATGGTGCACTTATTTAGAAATACCTAAGTAAAGGAGAAACTGGGAGACTGGGGTGTAGACGGGCAAAGCCAACAAGTTAAACGCCCAGGGGATGAGGAGGCAGGGACACAGGTAAAGTCTATCCTATGGCTGGTTGGGACCAAGAGGTGGTCTTGGGCTTTGAACAGACCTAGCATCCTTATTTGGAGTCCTTAGTATTTGCGTCTCCTTCGGATGTAGTTCCCGCTCTGTCCTGGACCATAACTTCTGGCTTTCAATTATTTTTTTTACTTAATGTTTCATTTTATGGACTATTTTATATTTTTCTCTTTTACACATCCTAGTCTTATTATCCTAATTAGTTTATTGTCTCCTGAGGGCCATTTATTTCAGCTTCTCAGGACAGATCAAGCCAGGAATTGCATAAGCAATCAGTAAGTCTCTATTAAGCAGACTGGGAAACATCACCTTTATAAGTGGTTATAAAGAGGCTCCTTTGTAAGGGGCAGTTGGAGATACAAATTCCAGCAGGATCGATAACAAAACACCCATCTTTGACAGCCCCTCCTGTGCTTGTTTGTTCTACACATTTAACATACACAGTAGCTCTGCCTCTAATAACAATTTCACAAATGGTTTTATTATTAATTTCAGTTGAGGAGACTAAGAGCTTCAGAAAGGTTGTGTGACTTGGCCAAGGCCACACAGTAGGTACTTGAACTTCAGGTTCAAGTGTGCTGATCCCAAAGCCCGTATGTTTTCCACATTTTTCTGTCTTGTGTAGTCTTGTGGCCACTACCCTTATTTAAAAAATAGTAGTAACAGCTACAGTTTATAGGAGTTCTCTGAGTTGGTGTTGTCTTAAAGCCCTTTATATATATTAATTCATTCAGTCCTCACAACAAGCCTAGAAGGTGGACTCTCTTATGATCCCTGGACAGAATTCAGAGGCTCTTATCCTGAACTTCTAAGCTAGGGCATAAAGGTGATTCTGTGGAACAATGAAAGATCACCGTTGATGTGTATTTTTTTATGTAAGAAAAGGAGCCCGAGAAGGCACACAGTATCTCACCTGTAACGCCCCAGCCCCATGAGGGCCCAGGAAGGGAGCCAGGGAGAGTAGCATAAGCTAGAGATAGGACTAGCAAACTACCTGCCTTGCAACAAACTTGTGGGAGAAGCATTAGACTGTCAGCAAAGGACTTTGAGGTGACCCAGGCTCCTGGGCAACTTTCCCCAGCATCATCCTAATCTTTAGTTTTGTCCATGTAAAGACCTTCCAGGCCCTCCCTGGTGGCACAGCCAGTTAAAGCACAGCACTGTAAGCGAGCCGCAGGTGGAGGTGACCACATGGCGTGCAGACCTTTCCTGACCCATCCGCTGCTCCCCTTAGCAGTGTACTTTATCGATCCGCCTGTCCCGCTCCCTACTCTGTCTTTGGTGAATCCTCTCACCACCTCTGGCCTGCACCCCAGTTCTGGATGAATAAATAAATACACCCTTAAAAAAAAAAAAAAAACAACTTTCAAACATGGAAGCAGACCAAATGCCCAAAAGTAGATGACTGGATTAAAAAGATGTGGTCCATATATACAATGGAATATTACTCAGCAACCACAAAAGAGAAACACATGTCTTTTGCAGCAACTTGGATGGAGCTGGAAAAGATCATGCTTAGTGAGATAAGCCAGAAAGAGAAAGAAAAATACCGGATGATTTCACTCATAGCAGGAGTATAATGGACCATGCGAGAAAATAACAAAAATAATGAACAACCATATACCAGAGGCATTTTGCGGGGGTGGAGTGGGGAATGGGATCAAAAATGGGGGGGTGTGGGGAGGGAAATGCATGGGATTATGGTGATGGCACACGGGTGACTTGGTGATGGGAAACCCACGCGGATAACAATTGAGATGGAAAAAAATATATGTACAAAATGATGTAAAAATAAACTTTTGTAAAATAAAAAAAAAAAACTTTCAAAGACCAAGTGAAAATCCTCATAAGCAAGGGCAGTAAAAGATTAACACTATTTTCTTCTTATCAGGCTCATTCAAAAGTTTGGCATAACTACAACATCAATTTCCGGCCTCATCAGAAGGGTTGGTTGTCAATCACGTTGGGATCTCATTGGATTGAGCCAAATAGATCAGAAAACACGATGGACATTCTCAAGTGCCAGCAGTCCATGGTTTCTGTGCTCGGGTGGTTTGCCAACGCTATCCATGGGAATGGTGACTATCCGGAAGTAATGAAAAAAAAGATGCTCTCCATTCTGCCCATTTTCTCTAAAGCAGAGAAAAATGAGGTTAGGGGCACAGCTGATTTCTTTGCTTTTTCCTTTGGACCCAACAATTTCAAGCCCCAGAACACCATGACTAAAATGGGGCAAGTTGTGTCACTGAATTTAAGAGAAGTGCTGAACTGGATTAAATTGGAATATGGCAACCCCCGAATTTTGATTGCTGAAAATGGCTGGTTCACAGATAGTCATGTGAAAACAGAAGACACCACAGCCATCTACATGATGAAGAATTTCCTCAACCAGGTTCTTCAAGGTTGGTTGCACTTTAACTTGATGTTTTTAAAATTTTTTTGAATACTTATCCTATTAGATATTTAATGTCTCCTTTGAATATAGGCGCACCTCAGAGATAGTGTGGGTTCTGGAGCAAACCACAAAATAGAGTGACTATCACAATAGAGCTGTAGACATGACCTTTTTATTTTCCCAGTATAAATATAAGTCCCATTTACACTATACAGTCATGTGTCACTTAACAACAAGGGTACTCTCTGAGAAATACATTGTTAGGCCATTCTGTTGTTATGCCAGTGTCACAGAGTGTAGGGACCCAAACTAGGTGGTATAGTTTTGTGTACACAGAGGCTGTCATGTAGAGAAGTCACAAACGTGGTCTTCATTGACTGAAACATCGCTAAGGGATGCATGACTGTACTACAACCTGTTAAGTTGCAAAAGCATGCTTTTAAAAACAATGTGAATACCTTACTTTGTTGTTGAAGAATGCTAAGTTTCATCTTACTCTTATCAGTTCATAACCTTTCTGCTGGTGGAGGGTCTTGCTTCAGTGTTGCTGGCTGCTGACTGATCAGGGTGGTGGTTATGAAGGCTGAGATGGCAATTTCTTAAAATATAACAAGAAGGAATTTTGCCACATCGATCAACTCTTTCTTTCTCAAAAGATTTATCTGTAGTGTATATTGTTGTCTAATAGCATTTCATCCACAGTAGAACTTCTTTCAAAACTGAAGCATTCCTCTGAAACCCTGCTGCTTTATGAAACCTTTATCTACTAAGTTTATGTAACATCCTAACATGTTCTGGATGTCTTCACCAGGGGTAGATTCCATCTCAAGAAACCACTTTCTTTGTTCAGACATAAAAAGAAATTCCTCATCAATTCCAATTTTATCATGAGAGGGCAGGAATTCAAACATATCTTCTGGCTCCATCTAGTTCTCTTGCTATTTTCACCACATTGCAGTTACTTCCTCCACTAAGTCTTGAACCACTTAAAGTCATCAAGAGGGTTGAAATCAACTTCTTCCAAACTCCCGTTCTTGTTGACCATTTGCTTTCTTCCAATGAGTCAACGTCTGTTCTTAATGGTTTTTAAAATGGTGAATCAATAAACTTTGTCCAGATTCATCAAAGGCAGTCAAAACCTCTGTGTTTCTTACATAATAAGACTTGAAAATTGAAATTAAACATTGGCCCATGGGATATGGTGTTAGTAGATAGGAAAGTAATATAAACCTCTGCCTTGAGTGGCCAAGTATTGTCAGTGAGCAGTAACATTTTGAAAGGAATTTCCCTGAGCTGCAGAGCTTAATTGCAGACTTAAAAGCAAGTCATGTTGTAAACAGATGTGCTCTTGTGCAGGTGTTGTCACTCCATTTATAGAGCACAGGAAGAGCTGATTTAGCATAAATCTTCAGGGCTCAAGGACTTTCAGAATGAGCACTGACATTACTTTAAAGTCACTAGTAAAGTCAACCAGTCCTTGAAAGCTTGAAAGCCAAGTTTGACTTCTTTCCTCTAGCTATTGAAGTCCTAGGTGGCATCTTCTTCAAATACATTCAGGCAATTGACTGCATAGGGATGCTTCAGTCAACAGCAGTCCACATAAACAACAGGGGTCCTGAGGGAGAGGCCAGCTGCCAAGTAGGCCATACTAGGTAGGTTATGTAACACGCTGTGACATTCACAAAATGAAGAAATCACCTAACAACACATTTCTCAGGACACATACTTGTCATTAAACAAGGTGTGATTGTCTAAGTGGCTTTGTTTACATTGAAAATCTGTTTTTTGGAGCCATCATCTCCATCTATATCCTTGTTTGATCCTTCTGGAGACATATACTTGTCATTAAACTTCACCACTTGCTGCTTCACCTTGCACGCTGATGGTGTGAAGATGGCTTCTCTCCTTATCCACATGAACTAACTTCTGCTAGTTTCAAACTTCTGTCACGTCCTCACCTCAGTTCAGCCTGTCTCAGCCTTCAGCATGCCTTCCACCCACAGTACAGTCATTCTAGCTTTAAAGTCAGGACCGTGGCTCTCCCTTTCTCGTAAACACTGAGAAGCCATATTGAAATAGCAACATTTCAATATTGTTGTATCTCAGGAAATGAGGAGGTCTACAGAAGGGGAGAGAGATGAGGGGATGGCCTGTTGGTGAAGCAGTCAGAACATACACAACATTGCAAAGTTTGTGGTCTTATCTGGGTGCATTTTGTGGTGCCCCAAAACAATACAGCAGTAACATCAAAGACCACTGATCACAGGGGACCTTGGCAGGTACCATAATGAAAAAGTCTGGGGCCCTCCCTGGTGGTGCAGCAGGTTAAAGAGCAGCACTGCAAGCCAGCTCCAGCCCCTTCACTGCTAGTTCTATCCCTGGCCCCAGAGGTGACCCACATGACCTGGCAGACCTCTCCTGACCCGCCCGCTCTCCCCTCAGCAGTGTACTTCATCAGTCTGCCTATGCTGTACCCCACTCTGTCTCTGGTGAATCTTCTCACTGCCCCTGTGCCTCTAACCTGTACCCCAGTTCTGTGTGTATAAATAAATCTTTAAAAAGAAAAAGTCTGAACTATTGCAAGTTAGCAAGTGTGACACAGCACAAAGTGAGAACAAGGTAAACAGACATGCTCATCGCAGGTGCCACAAACCCTCGATTTGTAAAAAACTTTAAAAACACTGGGGAGCATGACAGGGCAGAGCAAAATAAAACGAGGCATAGCTGTCTACGGCTATTACTGTTATTGCCTGGTGTTGATGGAATTTGTTAATGCTATTCTCACGTCCTTTATAGACTGCAGGTTCATCCTTAAAGGGCAACAAGGTGGTTTCTGTCTACTAAGAAAATTATACTGCTAAGAGAAGAATGTCCAAAGTTTTCTAACACCAGTGCTTTAAGATGCTTGAAAGCTTTTCCTGAAATTGTGTTCCTTTTACTCTATTATATGCCTCGAAGATGAAAAAGTTGCAAATAATGAGTCATGAATGGCAAAACTGACTAGTTTCCATGGCTTCCAGATCTTTCTCCCACCCTTGCGCAGCCCCTCATCCCTTGCATTACTCAAGCAGTGACATCTACAGGTGACTGGCTGAAATCAAGGAGCAGAAGTCAAGCCTGAGTTATGAAGGTTCTGCCCTGTTTGGAACTGGGCGTTATTTCACTCAAATAGAAAGGAAATTTCTATGCATTTTCCTAAAAGTTTGTAGCTCTTTTAGAAGTCATAAGTCTGGGGCCTCCCTGGTGGTGTAAGGATCTTAAGTCAGTTCTTTGAAGCTATCAGCAGCCACTGCAGCACAACTTTGGTCCCCAGCCAGGGAGCTGACCCACATGGCACAGCAGACCTCTTATACCTCACCCGCTGCTCCCCTCAGCAGTGTATTTCAGTAGATTCACTATTCTGCTCCCCACTCCGTCTCTGGTTAATCTTCTCAATCCCCGTCCCCCACACCTCTGGCTTGTTCCCCAATTCTTGTATTCATAAATAATTTTTTAAGGTCTATTTGTTTATTCATATAGAACTGGGGTACAGGCCAGAGATGTGGAGGGTGAGAGGTTTCACCAGAGACAGAGTGGGGAGGAGAACAGGCAGATCGATGAAGGGGATCTGCTGAGGGGAGCAGCAGGTGGGTCAAGAGAGGTCTGCCTCGCCATGTGGATCTCCTCCAGGGCAGGAGGAGATCGAACTCATGCGGAAGTGGCTTAAGTTTCTCAGTGCTGTGCTTTAACCCGCTGCACCACCAGGGAGGGCCGCATAAATAATTTAAAAAAATTAATCCTGGCTCTCCCTGGTGGCAACACATTATGGAGCTCTCTGAAGCTGCTGCAGCATGAGTTTGATCCCCTGCCAGGGAGCTGACCCACATGGTGTGGCAGACCTCTCTTGGCCCGCCCGCTGCTCCCCTCAGCAGTGTATTTCGGTACATCTGCCTGTTCTGCTTCTCACTCTGTCTCTGGTGAATCCTCTCACCCACCAAACCTCTGACCTGTACCCCAGTTCTGTAAGCATAAATAAATCTTAAAAAAACAAAAACAAAACCAAATTATTAATCTTTAAAAAAATCATAAAATAAGTCATAAGTCTGAAAAATCTCAGGTTCTGCAGGTTAGAGTCTTCGTAGGGGGCCCCTCGGGGGCAACAGGACTCTGCTCCTGCTCCCCCAAGCACAGGAAAGAGCAGCGTGACATGAGCCCCAGACAGACCTGGACATATCCATGCCCAGAAGCAGGGCTTGTTGGGATGTTCTTGCCTCAAAGGAGTCTCCTGGCCTGGATATCACACCCTTTAGGAAAAAAGTACGTGATTTTTAAAAAGCATCTAAAACGTAGAAATAAGACATTTCTACAAGAGAAACAAAAACCTTTAAGCAAAATGATTGATGGTTGCTTCGGGAATTTGTCGCTTTTATGGCTGCTGTTGACTTGCACATTCCATTTTACCCAATTCCTAAGAGTTACTAAGTCAGTGTTTTCAAGCTAGAGAGGTCCTAATAGGTTGTCTTTACACAAAGGAGGAAACTGAGGTCAAGAAACTTGCCCAATAGCACCCTCCCCGGACCTTCCAGAGCAGGCCTTCCTGCCTCCTGCCCCTCGGCCCAGTTAATTCTCGTTCTTACATCATGCTTCTTTCTCCCCCTTAGAGCTCCATCCCTTGTTAATTCTCAAGCTGATTTTTCAGTCCCTGAAGGATAGTTTCTTAGAAGAAGATAGTTTGTGCATGAATGGGAACCAACCCAAGCTTGAAATGAGAAATTCTTGGACATAAACAGACATCTGCCTTGGTCCCGAAGGGCTAGAAATTACCATGCACTGTGACACAGATTTACACACTAAGGCTCAGGAATATTTTCAATTTGCTCCTTTCTGTGGTTCATAGCTGGGGGGTGGGTACTATCCTGCATGAAAATAAATGCCACGTTTCAAGTGTATACATGAATATTCTGTTTGATATAATGGGCTTGCAGAGTAGGAAGAGGGTTGGTTTCATGCCAGCTTGGCACGGTGTTAGTGAAATCGTGAACATGAACCAGACTGTTTAGGCTTCTGCTTTTTTTTTTTTTTTTCTGTGCAGCAATAAGGTTTGATAAAATACAAGTGTTTGGTTACACTGCCTGGTCTCTGCTGGATGGCTTTGAATGGCAGGATGCTTACACCACTCGCCGAGGATTATTTTATGTGGATTTTAATAGTACACAAAAAGAGAGGAAGCCCAAGTCTTCAGCACTTTACTATAAACAGATCATACAAGAGAATGGCTTTACTTTTAAAGAATCCACACCAGATGTGCAGGGCCAGTTTCCCTGTGACTTCTCCTGGGGTGTCACTGAGTCAGTCCTGAAGGTAAGTAGCTACTTGCAAATAAACTATAATTTGCACATGAATACCACACAATGTTTTATTTCATTTACTCAGTGACAGCTGAGAGATAACTGTCAGACACTACAGGACAAGCTCATTAAAGAGAATTGGAGAAAGAGGAAAGGAAGCAAGAGGAATAATACTTATTGAGACTTCGTGTACCAAACTCATCCTCAGTGGTGGAGATGAGGAACACGAAATCTAGGGGGAATTGACAGGCATTTATAGAAAAAGCATTTGTTCAGAGTGTCAAAATCACATGAAAAAAATGTTGGATTTTTGCTTTGCCATCAGCAATTGATTAGTGGCCTCGTAAAGTGATTCTTGCTCTTTGACAGAGCTGGTAATTTCCCTTGATGTTATCTCGTAACTGGAAGTTTGTATCCTTCAATTGATATCACCCTATTTCCTCTACCCACTGGGTCCTGGTAACCATTTCACACATTTTTCTTATGTATCACCTGTCTTGCCTTAATCAAATGTAAACTCTCTTCCCATGGAGGTGGTGATGTCTGAGGCTCTGCAGGCTGTGTTTCCCTTATTGGAGCAGTTCCAGGCGTGGGGCAGGTGCTCAATCTGTAGTGAGTGAACAAGCTCAATTTTTAGAGACAGTCGAGACCTTAGAGACCTTCTACCCCAAGTTCTTCATTTATAGATGAGGGAAGTGAGACATGTCAATCAATAATTGAGACATAAGTGATTTGTCCAAGGAAACACAAATAGCTACAGAACTGTAACAGCAACCCTCAAGCCTCCAGAGGCACAGGGCTCTTTCTAAAATACTAGATAGTTATGCTTGAATTTTACGATGTGCCAAGCATTTAACTGCTGTATGTGTGGGAGTTCTTTCTACTGAATCTTAAAATCCTTATTTTATAAACAGAAGAGAGAGAGGTTAATAAACCTGCCCAGGTGACCCAACTGTGTCTCTTGCCGTTATGCCGTAACATCTCCAAAGACAACACTCATACCTGCATTCTAGAAACACAGGGCAACAAGATGTGAAAAAGACGGCATCAGAAAAAAGGGCTCCACCCATATAAGGGCAAATCTCATGGCTGATGAATCTCAATCCCTGTGGCTATTTAAAAGACTTTTCCTGAAGTATCATCCGTTTCTAACACTGCATATGTTTTGGGAAAACAGGTTCATACTTCAAGTGTGGGTCAGCACACCACAGCCACCTCCAAAGTACCAATCTCCATCCTCCACCACAGTCCATGGGCCCCTCCTCCATTTTTATCCCGCTGATAACCTCAGCTCTGCAGTCAGAAACCAAGGGCTGGTTTTGCTTTGAGTTTTGTCTGTTTTTTTTTGTTTTGTTTTGTTTTGTTTCTTTATGTTCCACATATAAGTGATATTATCCAGTATTTGTTTTTCTCCTTCTGGCTTATTTCAATTAGCATCGTTTCCTCCAGTTCTATCTAAATGGTAAGACTTTACTTTTAGAGTTGAGGATCAGTTCATGATGAAACAAGGTTCCAAACCAGTAGTATTCTGTTATCAAACAAGGCTGTTAGTGGGAAAAGGACACAGAATCTAACATAAACACAGGGAATAATTATCTTCACTTGTGTTCCCCATGGAATCACCTACTTATCCAGTTTCTATCTTCCTTTCCACCTGGCAGAGGCTGGCCATCTTTTTTCTACCACTTCAGGTGGGTCTTTATATTTCCCCAAATTCTAGACTAGCAAAGAAACATCCCAGGAGAGACAAAAGTTCCTGTCGGTCTATGATCCAACCACAAATCCCTGCTGCAGCAAAAGATACACCTGTTCCCACAGTGATTGATCCCATAAATGCTGATCACTTGGATCAGGGGAAAGTGACCCAAGTCACTTGATTATCCCATCCAGGTTTCATGCTCACACCTGTAGCCTGATGAGGCATCAACTTACCTTGAACTAAGAGTGAGGATGAATAATTTGCCAAGATGCGTTAGGGTGCTTTTTGAAAAATCATCTATAGGATATACAACTAGGTGCTGTGGAGGCATTACAACTAGATGCCCTTTGTGGAGAGACTGACAAGTGAAAGAAACACCTTAAAAATACTATTTCGGACCCTCCCTGGTGGTGCAGCAGGTTAAAGCACAGCACTAAGAAGAAGCTAAAGTCATTTCAGCATGAGTTTGATCCTCACCCCGGAGGTGACCCACATGGTACACAGACCTCTCCTGCCCCGCCCGCTGCTCCCCTCAGCAGTGTACTTCAGCAGTCGGTTGTTCTGCTCCCCACTCTGTCTCTGGTGAATCCTCTCACCCTCCTTGTACCTCTGGCCTGTACCCCAGTTCTGTATGCATAAATAAATAAATCTTTTAAAAAATATATTATTTCCCCTCCACCTCTTACAATTTTTTCACCTCCAACATTTTGTTGGATTTCCAAGTAGGGCCCCCCTCCCCTAGTGGCACAGTGGGTTAAAGCACAGCACTGTGAAGCTGTCGGTACCCACTGCAGCACATGTTCAATCCCTGGCCAAAGAGGTGACCCTCATGGCGCAGCTGACCTCTCCAGTCCCACCTACTGCCTCCCTCAGTCAATCTGCCTATTGTGCTCCCCACTCTGTCTCTAGTGAATCCTTTCATCCCTTGCATCTCTGGCCTGTACCCCAGTTCTTGTATACATAAATAAATAAATCTGTAAAAAGAAAAATTTCAAACTAGTACAATTCACACCAATAGCCCCATCAGGACTGGCCAGTTGCTAACATGTCACCACATTTACTTTACCTCTCTCTTTTACGAACCATGAAAAGTTGCAGGCATCAATACCATGATTCCAAAATATTTCAGCATGTTTCCTCTGAACACGGACATGTTCCTATATTATTAAAATATCATCATCACCGCTAGAAAACTTAATATTGACCCAATATCATCCAACATACAATTCATATTTAAATTTTCCAAAGTGTCCTTTATGGAGTTTTTAAAAGTACATCAAGAAAAAAGCATTACACACTGGTTGCATGTAACTTTGGCCTCCTTGAATTCAGAGCAACACTCCCCATCTCATGGTATTAATATTTTTTTTAATAGTCCAGGCCAGCTGATTAAAAACGTCTCATGTTATGGACTTGTCTATTAAATTCAGTCCACTGTTTCTGGAGCGAATACTACACTGATGTTGTTTCCTAATTCATCACCTCAGAGCCATGGGATATCAGTGTTTTGTGACTGAAGACATTAGTATACGGAGGTACTACTCATCAGATTCCAGTTAAGGTGGCATTTCCCGGACCTCTTAAATGAAAGGTTCTTTTTCCACTTCTACAATTAAGAAGCAATTTGACAGTGATATTTTAAAACCATGTATGTAGACTGTTCCCCAATATTTTACTCGGTGGTCTTAAACATTAATTCATGAACCTTCCTGAATTACTTTTGTACAATGCAACAATGATGAATTTCTGAATAGTCCTGAATAGGCCGACTCTTCAGTGCAGTGTGCTATAATTCATAATTGTCAGTTTCATTAGTGTTTTATGCTCAAATTATCTCAAATCTGGCCAGTGGGACCCCTTTAAGAGGCTCCTGTGTCTCTTGACTTCTCCCTTGCACTTCTTATGCTCTGCCTTATTTTTCTGGCACATGATGTTTTCCTGCTCTAATTCTGGAAAAAGTAATTTCTCCATGAAATCCAGGTTCTTTTCAGCGGGGACTAGAAGTTTAGGAAAAAACTCCCTGAGCTAGAATTGAGATTTTTAACTAGATCTCTTAACCACTTGTAACCCAAGAGGAACACTTTCCAGAGATTTTTAGATTTTCATTTGATCTGGCTTTGCCTTATTATTATAATTAAGATTGCCTTCATATCCTCTCAAAACCATGATCTATGAGGTTTCAAACCTCTAACATTGGCAATGTAAATTAGGAAGGTTTTAATTATATATGGATTAACTCCGTGTTCACATGATCAGTGTTCTCTCCATTTAGTGTTCTAGAGAACAGGTTAGCAGATGGTAAGTGGGCAGTAAAATGGCTTTGTAGTTATACTACAAAAATGACACATGAGAAAACAATTAGAAGAAAAATATTTACCAAAGGTTAACTGTCACTTTTTCCAGGTGCATTTAAATTCAATCACTGGAATAAAAAGTATTTAAAATAAGCATAGAACTTTTGCTTTTCTGATTATCTCAAATTCAAAACTGTTTTCCTTAAGTCCTTTTCTTTAATTTTAGTAAGACGTTAGCTTCAGTTTTGACTCAAGCGCCTAGCAAGCAATTACTGCCATTAGAGAAAATTAAAGCAGGTCCTATCTAGCTTATGTTTGGAGAGTGCACCAGAGTAGACAGAGCGCTTCCCCGGAGCCAATGACCCTCCGAGCACACCTGTGAGGTGGGTGCAACTGCTCCATCACCAGTTGCCAAGCATGGGCTTTGTGGAAAGAGCTAGAAGTCCAGCTCGTCTCCTTGGTGGAGGGTCAGGGACATTACTACATCCAAGGGTCAAAGGAGTTTCTGGATGTCTTTTACTCTCCTTTCTAATCCTAACCCAAGTACCTTGTGCAAAGACAAGTGTTCAGTATTCTGTAGGGTGAATATGTTCTCAACCTGCGCAAGACCATAACAATGCAAATATGTCACCACTTTCAAATAGAAATATGTCACCACTTTCAAATAGGAGGCTTTTTTTTTT